GTGCCCGCTCAGGAGGGGCCAGAGTGGGCTACGCACAGCTATGGGCGTAGCTGGGCCCTGCTCAGGTCAGTCTCATCTCAGGGGCTTGAGCAGAGCACGAGCCTCCTAAATGGGACATCTCAGGTCCAGCCAGAGCCGGGATGCTCCCTGCAGTCTAGCTGTCATTATCACGTGTGTGGAGAGATGAGGGAGAGGTGGCTCTAGGAGGCTTATGGGGCCTGTGCGTCTCCCTTTACGCTGTGCCCGTTGAGCAGCTCGAACGTGTCTTCTACCACCTGCCAGAGGCAGTTGTCCAGCAGGAACTCGTTGTCCACCAGGTTGACCAGGAAGTAGTTGTCGTGGATGTACTGGATGATCATTCGGGATGGGGACTCCTCCTCGTACAGTTTGCCCCACTGCTCGATCCACAGGGCAAAGGCCTCGTCCTACACGCGGACACACACACACACATGTGCAGGCTCAACAGGGCTTCTGCACCCAGGTCTGGGTTCCTGCTGTCTCCTTGCAGGCCACCCAGAGAAGGGCACGGCAGTGCTCCTCTAGCCAGCCTGGAAATAAGCACCATGTGCTAACTCGAGGCTTCCTAGGTCCTGGGGTGTGGTTCTCAGCTTCGTGTTTCGGACCACTGTTTGCCCAGGGCTCTCAAGGCAGGCAGGGCACACACCCTCCACTTACTCACTCACTCACCTTCCAGAACATAAAGCTGATGGGATCCACCACAGTAGGCTGGATGATCTCTCGACCAGGGAAGATGCCCCACGTGACAGCATTGGGCTGCAGCTCGGGGGCATTGGTGATGTTCTTTCCCTAGGAACACAGACAGGATAGCTGCAGCCTCACCCAGTGCTGGCAGACCTCACCCAGCCATGTACCGCCCCCCTCTGCTTGAACCACAGACCTACAGGCATCCTGGGCAGCTCCCCTCTGCCTCCACTGCCTGACTAGACTTCTAGCCTGAGACAAGGGTTTGCTTATAATCCAGGGTGGCTTTGAACTCAGGATCCTCCAGCAGTTACTGCCCAAATGCAGGGATTACAGACGTGTGCTGCCACACCTGGCTTGTCTGCTGTTTCTCATCCAGGCCACAAGGGCCCCCACCAATGTTCCCTGATCCTTGCCACCCTCAGAGTTGCATGCTGTGATCTTTGTAAAAAGAAACGGAGGCAAGCCACTCTGCCACTTGGAGAAAGGCTCCCTCGCTCTTAGGCAGTCTCCAGGCCCCAGGCAGGAAGAACATCAGGGCTCCTGGGCCTGATTCAACACCACCATGTTCTAGATGCAGTTTCTCCACAGGCGGTGCGGTGTGGTGCGGTGCCTCTCCTTCTGCCCTTTCCCCAGAATGCCCTTCGCCCTTTGCCCTTAAGAAAGAGGATTCCGGCAAGCGTCTGGGGACAGGGCTCAATGGGTAAGAGTGATTGATGCACAATTTTGGATCCCGGCACCCGTGTGGAAAGCTGGCATGACTGCATCTGCCTGCCACCCCAGCACTGTATGGGGTAGACAAGGGGACTGCTGAGGCGTGCGGGCTGTCGACCTAGCTCTAGGTTCAGTGAGAGATGCTGAGAGTGATGGCCGAGTGCAAAGCACACATATCCAGTAACACAGACTCCGCCCACACAGGATCCCATTAGACACCCTGGTCCTCTCGAGTATGGCATCCCTCCTCTGCATCCCATAGCATCCGACACTGAATGTGCCTTTCCTACTAAACAGACTTGTCATTGCATGTATTCATCTACCGCCCAGTCTGGGAGCTCTCTGTCAAGATGCCTGCCTCCATCTGGTCTGACTGTCTTGTACAATATGCTCTTGTACAATATGCCTGGCCTGCTCGTTTGGGGACTGTCAGAATAAATGTGGGTGTTCTCAAGCCCTGCTGGGTCTAGGCTGGGAGCTGGATCACCTGCACGTCCACAATGTGGAAGTTGACCCGGAGCTCGTACTTCTTCAGCACCTGCAGAAGGGCCTCCACTATCTCCCGGGAGGTGAAGAACTCTAAGTAGGCCTGAGGGAGGAGGAGACACCCATCACGTCAAGCCCTGCTCCCTGCCAGCTTCCTGCCTTCTGACTAGATCTGCTAACGCCATCTCTCAGCCAGATAGATGCCAATCCTCCTCCAGGGAGAGAACCCCATGTGGACAAGTGTAGGAGAGACTCGGGGCAGCGTGGACCAGGATGAACTGCAGAGTGAGTGCAGAAGGAACGACTTCTCTGTCTAGATGGGTCCCAAGGTGCCAGCCACTGGGGAGAAGCGTGTCAGGAGCTGAAGACAGAGCTACTCTGAGAAGCTCAGCCCGAGGGAGGAGGCTGCCACAGCCTCCCCAACTATTAGGTGACAATGCTATCAATAGGACTGGGCAAAGCATGTCTGCAGATTTTTCTAGAATGTTCAGAATACTGCAAGGTGGGTACTTTTTGCCCAGAGGAAGAAGCCAAGTTTGGGGCTGTATCAAGATATAACAGCAGAGCAGGCACCTGAACCCAGGTCTTCTGAGACCCAAGGCTCAAGGCCTTGTAGCCCCCGCAGGTCTGGGATTAAAGTGCCAATCTCGTCAGCAGCCAGAGCTCCGGGAGCTGACTGTTTCCTCGTTCTTCCTCTGGGAGGAGCACTTCCTGTGCTTTATTGTATTTTGTTCCAAACATAAACTGCCCCCCTCCTCACTTTTACAGAACTGGTGAGCCCAGGTGGCCTGTTACTTGCTCTGCTCCATAGTTATTCAAAATGCAGGGCTCAAGTTATTCAAAATGCAGGGCGCAGGAGGGAAAGGCCGGGGCTCTATTGCAGTCTCTGGGGATTTCCCAAGCAGGGTGAGTAGCTTCAAGAGACCTAGAGCACCTTCTGGAAGACGTGGCCCCCGCTGGGGCCCCAGCCCACAGTACCTTCTGGAAGACGTAGCCGCCGCTGGGGCCCCAGCCCACAACAGGGTCTGAGGACGGCTTCCCGTTGACGTTGGGCTGGGAGTTGATGGTGAGGATACCCAGCCTGTTCACGCGGAGCAGCTCTTCCTTCATTAGGCTGGTTTCTGCTGCCAGGGGATCATCGTTCCAGGGCAGGCAGGTCACCTGCAGGGCACGGTGAGCTGAGCTAGGGCACCGATGAGTCTGGGCCTGGGCTGTTTCCCCCTTGATAGTCACTGTAGAGACCCGGTCTGTCTCTGCCTCCAAGGGCCCCTGAGTAGGATTTCTTACGCCTTCCCTCAGCTGAGGTGCGTATCACAAGAGCGGAGACGGCCTAGCTCATGTCCAGCCCAAGGCTGTGATAAGACTGGGGTGGGAACCCTAGGCCCCCACTCCACCCACTTACTGTGTAGCCATGCTGGTTTGGCTCTCCTGAGAGGTAACGTTCAAAGACTTTAAAGACGCTTTCCTCGCTGGTGAGCTCCTCACCCCACATCTTCAGCAGCTCCTCCCTGGGGGACTTGCTTTTCAGGTAGAAGAGGTAGTAGTCCTTCAGCTCCCCGAAGGCCGGTGAGGAGGAATTACCCCTGGCAGGAGCGGAAGAGTCAGGGCACTTTTCTATAAATCCCATCCCTAACCCCTCCTCCCCCCAGCAAGGAGTGGCTGTTGCCCTCACCAGCGGCCATTGGGAAACTCGTCCCAGTCCTGTGTGCGGTAGATGTAGCTTTTTGGTCTGGAGGCCCAGAAGATGGGACGTACATATTCCTCCCGGCGCTTGGGATGCGCACTAACAGCCCAGGGCAGGGGGCGCCTGGTAAGAGGGAACACCAAGGAATTAACTGGAGTGAGCTAGAGGAAGCCACCAAGGCTGGCCAGTGCAGCGTCACTCAGCCTTCACTGCACAGGGAAGCTCTCTGTGAGGTGGGGCGGGTGGGACCTGTAACCCTGCCAGCTGTGGCTCCTAAGGGCTCCTGACCATTGTAGGATTAGGATTGCACCAATGCTGCCTGACTGCCCTTTCTCACCTGGGGTCCTCAGTCCACATGCCCAGTTGCTTTAGCACCTCCATGGTGGCCACCTCACGGTTGAGGGTATAGAAGTGGAGGCCCGGCACCAAGCCACTGTCCAGAAGCTCCCGGCACAAGCTCACAGCCAGCTCAATGCCATAGTTGCGGATGGCAGCATCGTTGTCTTTGATCGGCTCAATTACGTCCTTGATGTTCTGTGGCACCTCTAGCTTGGATAGTTTTACAAGCTGCCGAAGGGAGGTGTAGCCCTGTCCAAGACACAAGAGGCATGGGGACATCTCTAGCCCAGGTTTCAGCCCATTCCCTTCCTAGTCTCTTGGCTAATTAGCTTCATGTGGTGAGACCTGGGAAAGCCAGAGGTACTGCAGGACAATGCTTGGCCTGCCCTGCTTTCTCCCTCCTTTGCAGAGTTTGGGAGCTGCCTGCCTCATTCCTGCCATCAGCCTAAGCCAGGCCCTGAGCCCGTCATCTGCCAGACGTAAGTTTAAATTACAGAGCCACCTCTAGAGTGCTGGGATTACAGGTGTATACCATCAGCTTAACCAAAATTCCTGATGAGAGTTGTAATTACTTTTAATGATGTCTGTCAGCAGGCCAAATTACAAGCCCTTTATAGACACCATTGTTTCTTTTTCTTTCTTTTTTTTTTTTTTTTTTGGCTTTTCGAGACAGGGTTTCCCTGTGGCTTTGGAGCCTGTCCTGGAACTAGCTCTTGTAGACCAGGCTGGTCTCGAACTCACAGAGATCGGCCTGCCTCTGCCTCCCAAGTGCTGGGATTAAAGGCATGCACCACCACCGCCCAGCGACACCATTGTTTCTTAGGGACGACAACTGAGGTGACCAAATGCAGCATGTGGACAATGCCTAGTGGCAATCAAGTACCCCTGAGGAACAACTTCAGGGTGACCCGGAGCCCTAGCCCAGGACAGTGACTGGAATACGGGAACCAGGCCCTCCTGAGCCCCTCACCTGTATAGGAAAGATCCCGGGCAGGATGGGGCAGGAGATGCCTATTTCTGTGCAGGCCTTCACAAAGCTGAGGAAGGTGTTGGCCTCAAAGAAGAGCTGAGTGATGATGAAGTCGGCACCTGCAGATACCTTCTCTTTCAAGTGCTTCAGGTCCTCCTCAAAGCTCTCTGCCTCGGGGTGGCCTTTGGGGTAACCTATCAGTAGAGAAGACAGTGAGGAGACTGACTTCAACCCACCTGCTCAGGGAGTGAAGACACCAGTGTCTGGCGCCTGGGCACAGTCCTCAGCCCAGGCTCTGCACACGTGCCTCCCAGTAGCAGTGTGGACAGGTGGTGAACTGTGGTTGTCCAAGCTCACTGCTGTGCCTGTAGATGAGCCTCCAGGAGGGTGGTGGACTGTTCCAAACGCTGCACACTCTCCTGTCTCACTCAGGCAAGTCAGGCCACAGACAGAATACCATGTTCAATATGAACACTAACTAGACTGTTTCTAGGGAACCAGATTTGACTCTTGAGCATTGGACCTAAGGCGTTAGTTCAAGTTTTGTTTTGTTTTGGGTTTTGGATTGAACCCAACATCTTATGCATGTTAGGCAAGCATTCAACTACTGAGCCCCATCCCTAGTTCCTCTGAGTGAGAGAGAAAGAGAGAGAGAGAGAGAGACAGAGACAGAGACAGAGACAGAGAGACAGAGACAGAGAGAAGAGCGGTTTTGCTTCTTTGAGACAGGGTCTCACTATGTAGCTATGTAGCCTTGACTGGTGGCTTGGAACTCTGTAGACCAAGGTGACCCTGAATTCAAAGAGATTGACTGCCTCTGCCTCCCAAATGCCATGGTTAAAGGCATGTACCCAGCCCTAACAGCATTTTTTTGTAATTAAAAAGCATGTATGACACCAAATTCCCTTTGAGTCAGGATACTGAAAGGTTAAGAATTCTATGGTGGGAGCTGGTTGAGATGGCTTAGCAGTTAGAAGCACTGGCTGCTCATCCAGAGGTCCTAAGTTCAATTTCCAGCAACCACATGGTGGCTCACAACCATCTGTAATGAGATCTGATGTCCTCTTCTGGCCTGCTAGGATACATGCAGGCAGAACACTGTATACATAACAACATTATTCATTCTTTCTTATGATTCCTTAGGGTTGGGAGTAACGGCCCCACTTCCTGCTTTTATTACTCTTCGTTATTGGCATATTGTCTCTTAGTGTCAGTCCTGGTTTCAAAGAGAAACCCTGTCTCAAGAAACCAAAATACAAACAAACAAACAAACAAACAAAAAAACACCCACAAAAAAACCACAAAGAGAAACCCTGTCTCAAGAAACCAAAATACAAACAAACAAACAAAAAAACACCCACAAAAAAAAACAAAAAAATAAACAAAAGAGTGCTTACTGCTTTTGCAGAGGACCTGGGTTTTTACTAACACCTATATGGCAGCTAAAAAGCTTCTGACCTCTGTGTACACTGTGCACATACACATAACATTTAGCAACTAAACATATTTAAGAAAGAAACAAAGGACAGACTATAATAACTACTTTTCCACTGTCCAAAGGTCGTGGAGAGGATTCACTTGGATGCACGCCCTACTGGCCCATTCTCTTTTGAAAGCAGAATGCTCATCAGTTTCAATCCCACAAAAAAGTTCCTGTAGGGCTGGCAAGATGGCTCAGTGGGTTGAGGCACTTTAAAGCAAGCCTCAGATTCTACAATATAAGAGAGAACTAATTTCCAAGAGGAGTTGTCCTTTAGCCTGGCAGTGGTGGTGCACGCCTTTAATCCCAGCACTCTGGGAGGCAGAGGCAGGCAGATCTCTGTGAGTTTGTGAGCAGCCTGGTTTATAAAGCTAGCTCCAGCACAGTCAGGACTACACAACTGTGTATTGAAAAAAAAAATCAATAAACAAGGAAATGGAATATATATATATTCTCATTCTGATCACAAGGAGTGTGGGGGATGGGATAATGGGATGGCCATGAGTGGAGCATGTAGAAGATGGAGCCAAATTGGCCATTGGTGGCTCTGTGAACGCTCTGACTCCTCCTCTCAATGGCCAAATTCACCAGCAGCCTTACCCAGGCAGAAAGGCGGGAAGGCACAGCTCTGAGGCAACCTCAGGGATAGAGAGGCCCCCCTGCCTGAGTTCCAACAGGAGCAGTGCTAAGCAGACAGCTGGTCTGAACCATATCTGGAAGCCAAGCTGCTTTACTGTGATAAGAAAGTTTACTGGTTTCTTAAGAAACCAGTCACCAAGCATAGACATAAAAACTATTGTTTCAAGGAAGAAAGGACCAGGAGACCAGGCACCAGTACTTCAGCTCTCTTTCTAGTGGGAAATTCTGAAGTCACACAGCTGAGCAGTTTAAGCAATGCCAGGCAAATCCATATTGGCCCACAGTTGGGCTTTGCTCACTTTGCTATATTCTTTTTCTGTATGAGCTGCTTGGTAGTTTTAAGTGTCTTGTGCCATGTGTGTAGGTGCCCATGATGGCCAGGGCCGAGCTGGATCCCCTGGAGCTGGAGTTACAGGTGTTTGTGAGTTAGAGGGTGTAGGTGTTGGGACAGAACTCGGGTTCTCTGCAGGAGCAGCAAGCACTCTTGGCCCCTGAGACTTCACTCTAGCCCCAGGTACACAGCTCCGTGTACACAGTTCCAAAATTGCTGCATGCAGGCCGGTAGCAGCAGTGACAATCAGCTGGCAATGCCTGCTCCCACAATTCTTGAGCTGTCTTTCCCAGTCTTAGCCAGTCATGCAGCCTGCTGAGAGGAGCACATGTAGACGTTGGGGGGTGGGGGTGCTGGAGAAAGCTCAAAGTTATGCATGACTATTCTCTTGAAGCTGCAAACCTTTTTTAAAAATTATATTCCTTAAGGCTCAGTAAGTGTCTGAGCCTTATATTTATATTCCTAAGGCACTTGCTGTCAAGTCTGACACTCGAGTTTAAATCCCAGAACCAACATGGTAGAAAGAGAACTGAATTCTGAGAGTTGGCTTCCTACCTTCACTCGTGTGTATACTCACACACACAAAATAAAATAAATTTTACTACTTACTATATTATTCAATGATATAAGCACTTATTCATCTGTTTATTTTCTTGGTGCTGGGATGGAGCCTGGAACCTTACAAGCACATGGCAAGCTCTGAAGCTCTGGGTTTCTAAGACAAGTTCTGGCTGTCCTTGAACTCATGTCCTCCTCCTCTCCCGCTCTCCCCATCCCTTACTGCAAGGATCGGAGCTGAGCCAGAATGAGTCTCACGTCCTAGAAACTGAGATCCAACACTGAGAACAGTCATGGCTACAGGCTTGTCTGGAGCTGACACTGTGCACACACAGAAGCAGGACTCATGCATAGGACAGACAGTGTGTCTATGAGGGCCTCTCCTACAGCAGATGTACAGTGAGAAGTCAACCACTGGACCCCGTGTGTCTATGAGGGCCTCTCCTACAGCAGATGTACAGTGAGAAGTCAACCCCTGGACCCCGCAGGCACACAGGCACGTGGGGGGGAGGCATGGAAGGCAGAGGGGGGAAGCACCAGGAGTGGGCAGTGTGCCAGCCTGGGGCAGCCCAAGAACAGGGCCACGCAGTTCACCTCTGTGCTCCCCCACTCTGTATCGACACAATCGCCGCGTCCCCAGCTGAATACTGGCTGGCTTTCCTCTTATCTTCTCTGTTCCACTTACCTGCCACACAGATGTCAAAGTAGTCGCCAAACTCGCTCCGGATGTGCTTCACCAGGTCTGTGGCGTAGCTGAAGCCTCCTTCCTCTGTTTCCCAGTGGTCACCTACAGGGTCTGCAGGGTTGCTGGAGGTCATGGTCACTGGGTGTCCCCTGACCTCCACAGAGTCTTCTTGATCCCTCTACCTTCCCCTACACTTGGCTCTAGGCCCCTCAAAGGCAGAGGCTTCCTACTGTGCAAGTCTAGCCTGACACCTGGCAGACAGGAGGTGGAGGGCAGTGGTCAGTTGCCACAGGTCTACTAAGGCTGACTCTGCAGGTGCCCCTGTTGTTGCCGGGACCAGGGAAGGTGTGGCTCTCCACAGAGCCTGGAGTACTGGGGACTCTGGCCTGGCCCTGATGCCCTGGGTGTGCTCAGATACCCTCACCCATCCCTCTGCTCTCTCAGAGCACCTGAATTCTGGGTGAATTTTCTACTCATGAGGAGTCCCGTGGTGAGCAGAGGCCACAGATCCCTCCCACCCATCAGGCTCCCACTTCCCACTGTTGAGTGGCCTGAGGACAGGAAGCACCCAGGTGCTTCTGGGAAATGCCAGCACAGCAGACTATGACTAGGCCAGACAGTGCCAGAGACTGATGGCATTGTGTAATGGGGGTAGAGGGTTATCAGGCACCAGCCACATCCCGACTGAACTGCATACAGGGCAAGAGGTGGAAGAGGCCATCCCACCTGTGTGAAGCCCATAGTGGACTCATTACCCACAATGCTCACTGATCCTCCTGCAGCAAGCGGGCCCCAAATGAGTTTGTCATGCGGGGCCCAGGGAAAGTAAAGGACTTTTCTGGGGGCAGGAGAAGCCTTCAGGAAAGCAAGAACCCAGAAAGGAGGGGTGCTGGCGCCACACCTCCCCTCAGTGCCATTATGTTCTTCAGGCCAAGCTGCTTGGCTTTGTGCAAATGGCCTGTAATCTCCTCCTGGCGCTGCTGGCAGCAGGTCACGTGCAGGACGGTTTCCAAGCCGCAGTAGTTCACTGCGGTGCTGGCAATCATCATGGAGAAAGTCTCCTTGTCTGAGCCGGGGTCTCCAGCCGGGTGCCAGGTAACATCCAGGAAGAGGGGGCCCCCTGCTGCCATCCGGTCAAACCTGGGGGGGATTTCCTTCTTAAGTCTGGGCCCCTGGGGGAACAGCGTGCTCATCCTCCCTGGGATGCAAGCTGGTGACAGAGCACTGGGCTTACTTCCCAGGCACGTCACCTGTCTGGGGCGTCACCTGTCTGGGCACGGTGTCTTTGTTTGTAAGGTGCGACAGGCGACAGTACCTGCTCCGCATCCATGCAGATGCAGGGTCGGATGGCTGTGCATACTCATCGCCACTGCCCCGGGGGATAACAATGTCACCATCTTTCTGCTTCTTAGAGTGCATGCACACTCACTGGTTTTAGGTGAGTTTAGAATCTTAACAGCTGAGAGTGGCAGGCAGAGGGCCTTGATTTAGGAAAGGCAGAGAGATGAGCAGACACAAGTTTGTCTTGTGCTGCCACCATGGCCCCCTTGCATCAGCCTGCAGAGCAAGGCTGGGTTCCTGAAGGAGATTCGAAAGCCTTTGTGTGCTAAGTAAGGCTGTGTCTAAATATCCCGGGCCCTTGACATTTCTGGACCTAGGCAGCAGCACGTAGCAAGTATGGACTAAAAGGCTTCAACTTTTGTGGTTGGTTATGAGACAGGGTCTCATGTAGCCCAGACTTGACTTCAAACTCCTATGTAGATGACAGTGTTCTTTATTTGTTTTTGAGACAGGGTCTTACTATATAGCCCTGGCTGTCCTAGAACTCACTATGTAGACCAGGTTGGCCTCAAACTCATAGAGATCTGCCTGTCTCTGTCTCCCAAGTGCTGGGAATAAGGGTAGGAACCACCATGCTCAGCTCTTGACCAGGCTGGCCTGGAACTAAGATCAAACTCATAGAGTACTGCCTGCTTCTGCCTCCTGAGTGCTGGGATTACATGCATGTTCCCATACCCTGTTTATGTAGTGCTAGGGATCAAATTTAGGATTTCCTGCGAGCTACATACTCAATCCATCAACTTTGCTATATCTTCCCCAAAACACCCCCCAATGTTTTTGGAAACAGAGTTTCTTTTTGTAGTTTTGGAGCCTGTCCTGGAACTCCCTCTGTAGACCAGGCTGACCTCAGATTCACAGAGATCTGCCTGCCTCTGATTCTGGAGTGCTGTGATTAAAGGCGTGCACCACCACTGCCTGTCCCCACCCTCTTTTTAAAACAGGGTGCCATTATGTAACCCTGGCTGGCCTGGACTCTAGGTAGCCTAGGCTGGCTTTGAACTCATAGCCATCCTCCTGCCTCTGTGTACCACTATGCCCGACTTTCCTTTCTGTTTTCTTCGTGATCCCAGGGACAAAGCACAGGGTCTAGCAAAGCACTCTGACTGGAAGGAAGGCAACTGGAACCCAGAAAGTGTGACCACAAAGCATGTGGTCCCTGATTTGAAAAAGTACTCACAATGTCTAGCTAGCTCATCACATTCCCCAAGTTGCTATTTGTTGACTTCCTAAGCTCCTTGTGAGCCAGCCCCAAGTTCTGCCAAAGAATGCAGCCTGAGAGTGAACATTTTTGGCCCACTGGGGGAGTGCGTCCAAACATATCTAATGCTGCCTCTGAGGGACTTCTGCAGACAAGAAGTTGTAAATTGCAGACCAAACTCCCTGTCTCTCCTAAGCTCCTTCCTGCCTCCTCTCTCCAGTGCCTTTTCCTGCCGGGTCAAAGGGCAGCTCATGTTGCCCTCCGCCGACCCCCTTACTTAACCTCCCTGCTCACCTTGAGATGAGGTTAACAGCTCCCTCAGCAGTCCGAGGAGGGAAGAACTCCAGGGAGAACCACTTGTCACCAGAGTCCATTCTGCGCCTCATCTTCTCCCGGAGCCTCTCGTGCCGCTCCGGGTCCAGGCTGGGGGTGGAACATCGAGAACTGTCCTTGGAGCTCTCGCTGCCGCTGCCGCTGCCGCTGCCCTCGTTCACCATGGCTGGGTTCCTGCTGTACAGGGTGGGGGCCGGGGGCATCAGAGGGCTGGTAGCCAAACCCCATGCACACCCAACATCTGAGGAGGCAGCTCCAGAGGCGGACAAGAGGGAGGCTCACACACCTCCTACCCAGAGGCTTCATGCGCTTTGCCCCCCTGCTGTCGTCTGGCTCTTTGTATGACGACCTCCCACTAGGCTCTGGGCCGCTCTTAGATCCTTCAGCTCATGAATTCTTGGTGACAGCTACCTGATAGAGGGTGGCACAGAAAGCCTCACACAGCCGGCCTCTGAGGCCCACATTCCTAGGGATGGGTAACGGTGGCCAGCTGGCAGGACCTTGGCTTCTTGATGGTTCATCTCAGTCAACTTAGACTCAGAGTGAGTGGGGGAAGAAACAGGGAACCTTTCCTGGAGGGTGTGCCCTAGTGGGCGGAGCTGTGACAAAGAGCCCAGAGCTAAAGCTGGGGCCACGCAAAGGGGCGGGAGTAAGGTTTCTAGGCAAGTCAAAGAAGCCGGATGAAGGGTGGGGGAGGGGAGAATGTGAGCAGGCAGGGACTGCAGGGGTTGGTGGAGATTAGGCTATTAGCCATTCAGCGTCACTGGATTTCCCCCTCCAAAGAAAGAGCAGCTCACGGGTGCTGGCCTCTCCTGGAACATGTTCTAGATTCTTTGTTGCATGGCTAGGGAGCCTGATTTCCCAAGTTCACACTACTCCAAAACCGCTGCTGTGTTGTGAGCTACAACTTGACAGGGGCTGGGTTGCAAAACCAAGCAGACTTGCCGGGTGGTAGTGGCGCATGCCTTTACTCCCAGTACTTAGAGGCAGGCAGATCTCTGTGAGTTCCAGGCCAGTCAGGGCTACAGAGCTGGTCCCAGGACAGCCAGAGTTGTTACACAGAGAAACCCTGTCTCAAAAAGCCAACATCCCCACCAAAAAAATAAAACTTTGATGCGCTGGGCTGCAAAGGCAGTCAGACTGAAATCACTAAGGGAGGGCAGGGATGTATGTCCAACTCTGAACAGAGGCTGTCCCATCTGTGCCTGCCCTGGCAGCAGCTCTCCCTGAGCATACCAATGAAGTCAAAGGAATCAGTGACCACAGTGCCACCACATACGTGATCCTGGTCACACCAATTGAAGCCTGGCTAACAGAGCATATTGCAGTCTGGTCAGGAAATGGCAAACATCTGGAAACAAAACCAACACGAGTTCTGCACCAAAATATGGGCACACACACAATAGTGGTCATCTGTGTGGTGACACGGAGCAACAGAGGAACAGCTAAGTCACTTTCATTCCTTTACAGAAACTTCCACCTCTAAGTCAATGTACCGTACGTACCAATGTACCAAATCTGCGGCTCCTTCCTCTCCTAAGGCACAGAACACAGGCCAAGGAGCCGGTTCCAGACTAAAAACCCTGCTCCTCCTCAGTGCCACTGCTATCCCCTATCCATTTATGCCAGTTTTGTTCTGACCTAAAACTGCCAGGTGCTCATGCAGAGTGAGAAAGAAGCCAACCTTGCATGTCGGCCAAGACCTTTCTTCTATATCTCATTCTCACTGCAGAAGCAAATCCTGCAGAGCTGACCTACACACAGCAGCAAACTGCTCCAAGATTTGAGCATGTCCAACACATGCCATATTTCAACCAACAGCCACCAGCTATTCATTATTAGCTGGGATTCCACAACACACAAGGTTGAGACTGTGGTCTAACAAGTTTGTTTACCCTTTGGCTGTAGGTCCCCTGCCTGAGACCAGGGCCAGGGATCCTGTTCCTGGCATCCTCAGTGCCTGGCAGAGTAGTAACAGCCAGTACTCACTGAATCCTAATGGTCTCAAAATACCCCTCTGCCACCTACTGATCACTTAGACTGTGCCAAACAGTGAGTCCACCACTCCCAAAACTGTTGAGAGACATATGTGAACAGAAGGGCACTGTGGGACCTGGGCAACAAAGCCAGTAAGTCCACCACTCCTTCTCAGATCTTGTCAGGGTGGCAGGTTTTAAGAAACTGGCAGCCAGGTACGGGGGAGGGGGCGCACACATTTAATCCCAGCTCTGGGGGTGGGGGGAGCAAAGGCAGGCGAATGTCTGAGTTCGAGACCTGGTCTACAGAGAGTTCCAGGACAGCCAGGGCTACATAGAGAAGCCCATTTTCGAAAAACAAAACAAAACAAAGTAGATCGCAAAGGCAGGCGAATGTCTGAGTTCGAGACCTGGTCTACAGAGAGTTCCTGGACAGCCAGGGCTACATAGAGAGCCCATTTTCGAAAAACAAAACAAAACAAAGTAGATCGATCGATCGATACACGGAGCTCGACAGACACTATGACTGGCAACCACCCGGGCGCTGGGTGGCCCGAGGGACGGGAATAGGGTCACCCGGTCAATGGGTCACAGGTCTGGACGGGGATGCGGGCCCCAGACGGCTCTGGAGGCTGGATCTCTGCCCCATACCCAGGACTCTTAACCTTGGGGTACCTTCGTGCAGGGGGGAGGCTGGGTGACAGCCACTAGGGGTTCCTTAGGCTGCAGCAGC